CCATCTCCAGCCACATAAGCGTCCCCGGCCACTAGACTGTAATGCCCGTTAACGAAGCTTCCAAGTTCTCCTCGGACATGTTGACAAGGACGTGTGACACCAGGTCTTGGGGTCTACAACCTCAGTGCCCCGTATGATAAAAAAAACCTACAGTCCATCTTTGTCTTCACACTAAATAAATCAGTTGCTATTTACTTATTTCTATCTAAGTATCTATCTATGTATTTTTAATCTATTGAGCTAGCTAGTTATCAATCATCTATTAGTTTTTTATTTCCGAAGTACTGGGGTTTGAACCCTACATCTTCACATCCTCAGACTTTTTTTTTTTTTTTTTCATGAACCCACTAGGGTCTCACTAAGTCACTAAATTTGTCAGGCCGGACTCCACGTCCTTCTTGCCTCTGCTGCGTAGAATGCTGGGATCACAGTTACACATCACCGGGGCTGGTTCAGTGTGCTATTCAGAACAGTAAAAGGAAAACTAGAAAATGAACTAGAAAATGAAAACTTCCTGTGATATTAGGCACTGGTGACATTTTAGCTTTTAAAGCAACGTGTGTGCACTGACATTTTGCACACGGCAGGCACAGTGCTAAGGGGTCTTTTCCACACCACGGAGGCATTTTCTCTGAAGATGCAGAGCTAGGCATTTGCAATTAGCTGTGAAGTTTTAGGATGCTTTTCTTTCCTGGATCGATTACATCAAAATTTGCATTTAAATAGGGAATATTGAAACATTCCATACATTTCCACAATGACTTTTGTTAAGAGACAGAAATGTTGGTTTCAAACTGTGACATCTGTGATCGTGGTGGTGGATCCATAGCAGGTTGTAGCTTTTAGGAGCATACAAATGATCATTCATTCTGAGCTAATGAACTTAATACCAAAGTGCAGTATGCAATACTGTGAGCTAGCGCAAGGTAGACAGCATGTGGTAACTGCGTGGTGATAGTCCTCGTACACCCGAGAAACCATCACCCCACTGCCATGATGAACACATACATGTATCACTTCGAAGCTTTCCTTGTGGCCATGTGCAATCGCTTTAAAACGTCAGCAGGAGGTGGGGGTACACACCTTTCAGCTCAGCACTCTGGGAGACTAAGGCAGAGGATCACAAATACAAACCCAGACTGGGCAACTGATTGACCTACAGAGACCTATCTCAAAATAAAAATTAAAGAAGGGCTGGCCTTGGGTTCAATCCCCATTAAATAAAAAAAAAGACAGGTAATACCCATATAAATAACTAAAAGCAGGAAATGAAAGAGGAGATAACATATGATCACAGTTTCAGAAGAAAAAAATATATGGCATAGGAGAAAAAGTACTAATAAATCATTATGCTTAATCTCATGGTTTCAGCACTTAGGGTGCTATTTCTTCTTCATTATTTTTTTCTGCATTTTTCAAGTTTTCCATAATGAGTACTTGTTGCTTTTCATGACAGCTATAATTTATCAGAGAAATTAATTGGGTTTGGTGGATAAAAGGTTTGTGCCACTATCAAAAAAAATGTGCGTGGATGTGCTGCGCCAGTGCTTGTAGAAAGGAAAAGAGATGTGTCCCTGGTATTAAAGGTAACTCTTTCCGTACTTAATTTTCCCTGCTGTGCTGTGCACACTGTGCCTACTGAAACACAGTTACCCTGTTTGCGAAGCTCAGTGGGTGAGGAGAAGAGACACAATCAGGTTACCCCTGAGCCAACTGCGAAGTGCTACATAACGAAGATACCCGCGCAACACTACGCTTCCGTACAGAAAGCAGGACAGTAGTGTTTTGTTCTAAGGGCAGGTATACTGCTCTCCCCAATACCAAAAAAAAAAAAAATCAAGACTCTCTTGCAACACTCAGTAGTTTTCATTTTTTTTCCAGGAGAAGGCGGGCAGCTGCAGTCGCAGCCGGCCTGCCAGCCCGAGCCCTGGCCTCCGCAGCACCTCTCACCGCACCGGCGAGGCCCGGGACCGGGCGCCGCCCGGGGGCAGCCGGCCCCATCTCCGGCAGGGCCGCCTCCGTGGTTCCTCTTCCCACTCACACTACTGATCAGCAGGCGAGGGCCGCTCAAGGCCCGGCCAGGCTGAGGCGCGCTCTGAGGTTCACTCCAGTTCTAACCATCTGACATCTCAGGTGCTGCGGCCCTAGAGAATTCTGAGACTGTCGTCATGCTCAGGTTCTGCCCCAGGCAGTGTAGAATCTACTTAATAAAACCGCTGTAAACGCAGCTTAAAGCAGCACATGACACGACTGCCACCGCACAGCGGGGTAGGGGCAGCGCCCCGCGGGAGGGGCGCACAGGAGCCCGGGCTCAGGCTGTGGTCTCCCGCTCACAGCCCCCCCACCCCGTACAGAGGGGAAGTGTTTTTAGTTACACCAGAAATCTGACTCCTCCCAAGCAGCAAAGGAATTCCTGGAAGGCAGCTGCAGCTTGGCAGCAGGGAAGCACACCGGGGCTGCCCAGGCTGGACTCCTACTGACTCAAGTCGCCAGTGAGGTGCTGCTGTGGCGCTTGGCCGTGCAGCCTCTCTGTTCCTACCCAGCCTCTCGTCCCGCGCCTTCTCTCTGTCTGTCCCTCACCGCTGTTCCTGACAAAGTCCAGGCAGGTACATCGAACTCACTGAGCTTAGGAAAGTGCAGGAGGGTGAACAGGCTTCTGATCAGGCAGCAGACCAGGTGTACTCCGTGTATCACAAAAAACATCTGAAACACCCAGCTAGATGGCAATGCTACTACCGAGTCAGTTCTAGAAGAAGGTAAGTTTCTCTTTTTTTTTTTGGTACCGGCAATCAAGCTCGGGACACTGCACTTGCCAGGCAGGCGCTGTGCCGCTGAGCTGTATCTCCAGCCTAAGACGGTAAGTTCTCCAATGAGTTTTTCATTTTCAGGTTTTAAAACCAATATGCTTTTTTATCTTAGCTCATTTTTAGCAGCTCCAGACCTAAGAAGGCCCTCTCTACCACTTATTGTCTGTAGTTGCTCATGCTGAACACTTGGATGGTTTAGGAACAACGGCTGTTAGCTTTAAACTCAGGTGCCACACGACGGCCTTCTGTCCAACAGACCGCACACAGGATAGTGGTCTCCTGAGATGATGTCGCCTACTGATGTCAAAGCCAGCTTGGTTTGTGCAAGTACGTGCTATGATGCTCATATGATGAGAAAGGCACCAAACACTCATTTCAGAGAACGTACCCTCTTACTGAGCAACATATGCTGTATTTATAAACTAGGGTATTTGTGAGTCATGTTAATTTTAGATAGCTCTTCACACTACAGTGTCAAGAACTATGAAGATCTTCCTTTTACCCTACTGGCAGCCGTCAAATGAGCTGCCTGAGTTTCACGGACACTGGTAGAAGACACAAGACTCGCGGGTCTGCGACAAAGGACAGTTCATTGGGAAAGCAGCAGCAGCAGAAGGATGCTGGCATTTTCATACTGGTTTTCTGAGCCTCAGTTTCCACAGGGCAACATAAAGAGAGCCAGATGAACCCTGCAAACTGTGCAGGAAAAAGCCAAATTTAGGGAAGTGGATCTTTTTTTTGGTACCAAGAATCAAACTCAGGACCTTCTGCTTGCCAGGCAGGCACTTGTGCTGCTGAGCTACATCCCCAGCCCAAGGAGGTGGATCTTTCACAGTCAGTAAGCACAGCTGCCCTCTGGCTGACAAACTTCTTCCAAAAGAACATTCACTGCCTCATCTTCAGGAAGTTCAGAGGGGAGAGAAATACCTTCACATCATATCAACCTCTCACTTCCACACTATTTTGCCTTCTGACAAATTTACCCATGAACACAACACTTGCAGGTGACTCTGTTTAATATGGCTGGCATAGATGGTAAGAAACAGTGTAAGGTTCGAACGCTTTAAATATGGAATAAAGCATGAATCTAATATCATCCCCCTCCCTGAAAAAGTATTTTTCTTAATAATTTTCTATTTCTTTTTGAGACTTCTTGTGCTAAACTTATTTTTACACACACACACACACACACACACACACACACACATGCCCCTATCTGAAGCCATCTGTCTTCTGATGTATGCCCAGAAGAGTTTTATGCCTGCCCAGTAGGAAGGGTTTCCACTCCCACATAAAAACGGAAATGTGCTGAAGCCCGCTGTGTGTCTTACTTAGCTCACTCAGACAACCCCCCACTTTCCCTGAGGCACACACCAACGCCCCAAGTACTCTCCAACCACCACCTGCCTGTTTCTTCGCTCACTGATCTCCAAGATGAGCCCCGACTGCAGTGCAGAAGCACGCCAGCAACCTAGACGCAACTGTGCTGCACTGGGCACGTGTTCCATCAGGCCACGTTCTCAGACGCTCGCGGTCAGTATTTAACCCAAAGGAAATGCCAGGGAACAGTCCTGCTTACGCCACAGAGACAGCCCTCACACATCCAAGCCCGAAAGCGATTTCATCGTACCCACTCCAGGCCATCTAAGCGTGTCAATAATGCAAACATATCCAATCCATGTGACACTCCACAGTACCAACAAACTGCTCCCAGTGAAACTGTCATCAATTGGGAGTCAGGGTTACAAACACCGAGCAACAAAAAGCAGCCTGAGCTGCGATGAACCAGATATAGAAGAACAAGACAAGGATGAAAACTAATATATCCTTCACTTGCATACTTAGGGAAAAGGGCAGTTTCTCTGGTTGAAGGGATATATCTTTGTCTAATCACCTACATGACTTTTGTTATCCCTAAATATTTTATACGAAATAAGGACAAAGACAAAGGCATGGCAACCTTTAACATGAAATTTCTAATGTTACCTCTGCTGGCTCCTACACAATAGTACTAATTCAAGTGTACTTGTATCTTTATACTACTCTTTTTAAGTTTCTCCAATGATTACAGTAATCTTGCCTTCATTTACTCCATTGTTAGTCCCTCTACTAGTGTACTCTGCTTTAGGTAAGAACGTCACTTAGGGTTCTACGCTGAAGATTAACACAAAGGAAACCAGCCGTTTCCCTTACCGTTTGCCGCGTGGGTAATGGCGCACATACTCTCCAACATCATGAGCAGCGACAGCTAGGACCTGGGGATCGTCCGACACCTCCAGAAGCTTTGTCAAGATTCTGAAATAAATTTAACCCAAAAAAGTCAACGTCTGTTTTTTTTTCTACAGAGCACAACACCTGCCGCAAAGTAGATGTTTACCATCATACTCGTCTGAGGATTTCAGTTATACCTCCCTTAGTAGTTTTCAAACCTCGGCACTTATAGGACAGGTTACTTGCAGATTCATGATGTGTAGCATGCACAGTTCCCACTATCAGGACTTCCCAGCCCTCTCTCTCAAGAAAGACTAGAATATAAACAAAAGTTATTTCAAAGTAAGACTACCGGTGGATTTTTGCAAATTATATTTGTAAATAACTTACTTGTAAACCATAGGGCCTATTGTTAGTACTGGAACAAATTCTTTCCAATACTCAATCACCAAAATGGGAGACCTGAGCGCTAAGCGCACACACGCCCCTTTCTCTTTCCCGAACTTAACAAAAGGCCGGAACATGTGCCTCACAAATTAAGACGAAATCCACTTTGACAAGTGAGTGCTTCTCAGAAGATGGCAACCCAAACCCACCAGTCTGACCCCCTGCCCTTCGAATACTTTCCCCCGTGCACACACAGAGGAAAACTTCCACCGAACCCGACGGGCCTTCCTCAGGAGGCGGGGACCAACGGCAGGAGAGGCTCCCCTCCGCCGAGCTTTCTGTCTCCCTCTTCAAGGACCACGAAGGAGTGGGCACACCCACCAGGGACTGTGCATGTCCTCGCGGGTGAAGGGGAAAGGAGAAGCCACTGCTCAGAACCCACGGAACTCGGAAAAGATGGCCTTCCTGTCCAAGGAACAAGTAATTCCTGTGTTATTTAAACTGGTCAAGAGCCCCCCCAAAGAGACGGAAAATTTCTGAACTCACCCTACAAGCAGCCCGTAACTGTGACAACCAATCAGAATGAGTAGTTTTATGAAGTGACGAGACAGAGACTAACACATAAAAGCAACTGCTTTCTGCTATGCTGGCAATCATTACTTGTTTAGAAACAGATAAATAAAAATCTTAATGAATTAGCAAAGTAAACCCAGTGGTACATGAGAGTACATAATACATTCAGTTCTCAGCTCACAGGTCCCATTCTTCTCCAGGAGACCTATCATTCTAAGACAGGACCCTCTGTCGCTCTCCTTTCCTACTGCACTTCTCTTCATGGTGCTAATTACTATCTGCCATTATACACTCTATTTTCTTGACTATATGTTTAATCTTCCCCCAACACAATGCAAGCTTAGTAAAAAATGACTGTTTTATTTGCCACTGCATCTGTAACATCTAGAATAGCACTGACAAATCAACAGATGCTTCAAAAAACACATTAATAAATGAATAAAAAAGTCTAATATGAGCCAATTGGGAAAACCATTCCTGACAGCTCTTAATGAAATTTAAAATACAGAGAAGCTTTGACCCAGCAATTCTATTTCTAGGAATCTTTCCCACAGAAATATTTTCACATTTTCACAAAGATGTACATGTACACTATCTTTAAAAATGACTGAAACACTCATTTTAAGTGACTCCAAGTCACAGTAGGTAAAAAAGACAAGTAACAGACTAACACACTTGGTGTAATGAATGTACAAAAAATTTTGTATAAGCATGAGGTGATACACACCTACACATAAAAAAACAAACCCAGAGAAGTTATTGCCTTTTGATTCCAGATCCCATTAAAGAGAAGTCTAAGGTAGAACAGCAGTATAAAAAGTTTTTTTCTTCAAAAACTTTTTATTTTAGTACTGTATACCTTCAAGTGTGCTTGGAAGACTCTGACCAGGCCGCTTGATATAACTTATAATTCAAGACTTCAACAATACGTCTATTAAAAAAACAAGTCACTTATTTTTACCAAAATGGTCAAGGTGTTACTATCCATTTGAACTGCTAATTATATCAAATACTTATTTGAGAAAATTGAAATAGTTCAGTTGTCTGTTTGCACACAATCTGTTCCCTTACAAAATGTCGTATTTCTTAAAAACTTTACTTGGAAACAACTCAAATCACAACTGTCTTTGCTTATATTAATGCGTCACAGCACATTCCAGCAATGAAACACCCACTTTGCTGAGAACGCGTCTGAATCCGTGAGAGCTGCTTACTTTACTGTCCTGGTCACACATATCTGAGTCTCCCAAAGCTGAAAGTCTCCCCGCGCTCCCTCTCCTGTCCCCAGGTCAGCCTGAGCCAGCTAACGTTTTACAGACAGCAGGACATGCTAAGGAGGACCCTGTTGCCGGTCAGGGGATCATTTCATTATGAAGTAATTGCACGTCCTCCCTCTTCTGGATTAACTGGGAAAGCTGAATTTCCACATTAAAGAGAAAGGAGTAACAGCTAACAGAGAGAGAGAGATACATGTTTCAGACTCTGTAAATATATTCTTTACAACAAGACATGAATGCCAAATAAGGCTCAAAGTAGTTAGCATGTCTCAAGACAAGCCAATGCTGCAACTAAAATCTGGCTATCTGCTCTCTAGCTACAAACTGCAGCACAAGAAAATTTAACTCAAGCACAAAAAAACTGTAAGACATACATTCAATTTTCTATATTTATACATTTTTTTAATTTCATCTTACTAGTATGTGTGTATCATACATAACACTTACATTTCTTGGGGGACGTTGGTACAAGTACATAACACATCCTAATTTCTTTTTTAATCCCCTTTCCTTTCCTTCTTCCTTCCCCCACTTAACCCACTTACCCTTCTCTTAATCCCTATAAGAAATAGAAATTTAAAGTGGTCCATTTGCAGGATAAAGTCTAGCTCTGCGAGGAAAACTACTACGTCATTACCTTGTAGACTTGACTGAGGGCATTCATCTGAAAGGGTCTCTACACGAAGAGGGGAGAGGAGGTAGTCAAAGTACGGCATTCACGATGGCACCTCCGACTGGGGAAGCACTAGCAGGTAAGAAGTTACCCCTGCAGCTTAACAATTTGCTTATAAAAACCACGAAGTGTTTGCAAAGAAAGGGGGCCAAGGGTATATAAGTGCTAGGGAAAAGATAACCGCAACGTACTGGGCCAATGAGGAAAGGGGAGGAAACTGCACTAACGCGAGAGAGACTTGCCTTCCTGGGGTTAGCCTGCTGGATGTAACAGCCCGCCCCTCCTTCTGTGTCTCACAGCACAGCGGACACCCACCCTTGCAAGACTAAAGCTTTCCTTTCGCTGTTTTTCTTGCCTTTGAAGTCCATTCTTTGGGCCTGGACAAGTTAATGCATTTCACACAATCTCCTTGCTTTTTTTGTTGTTCGTCTTCTTTACACATGTTTATATTTTCTTTTCAAAAGAGCAACTTGCAAACTAAAGTGTAGTTCAATCCAATTGAAAATTTTTAATAATTTCAAAAGATTAGCATTATATTTTCATACTTAGAAATTAAAAGCAAATTACATTAATAGAAAATTACAAGAATAACATATTTGCTCTCAATACCTCAAACCAGGTCAGCAGATTAAAGCTCAAGGCCAAAGCTGGCTACCATCTCATTTTGCAAATGAAGTTTTATTGAACACATCCAAGCTCTTCAGTTTACTTACTGTCTACAGCTGCTTTGGTGCTATGATGACAGAGCGGGAAGCTGAGACACAGAGCAGCTGGTAAACCAAGTGTAAGACACATACCGCCCGAGCCTTACAGCAGAAATGTGTGAATCCCTCTCTTACACCTGTACGACAGCGGAAGAGTACTCACCTTGCATGCACGTGGCCCGGAATTCAATCTCAAGTACAAAAACAATTCACTGGCTTAAACCACTCTCCATACTGCCAATGAGATACGTAATACTCAAAACATGATATAGAGACCAGCTGCACTGCTATCACATGGATACCTCAGAAATGCTGAGCGACCAGCCCTATTCTAAGCTACCAAGTTACATTATAACACGCTCAGTTAAGTTACACACCGTGGTATATAATATGTATTTTTAATTGTTTTTATTTTATCAGTACACATTAGATATATATAATGAAAACATTCATCATAGGGGATTTGTACTTGTACACGATACATCCTGGTTCCTCTTTCTTCCCATTCCCCTCCACTTAACCCCTCCTTCCCTCCTTCCTCACAAAAACTTTTTGAATTTTTTTCTTTTATTCTTTTTGGTCCTTTCTTTCCTTTCTCCCTCCCTGCCTTGCTCCCCTTCCCATTTGTACATTTTCTTCCCATTTCCCAAAATCTGCTATGCATTTTGGTCCTTATTTACACTTTGGTTTCTCACCTCAGAAACAATGCAGCATTTAAACGTGTGTCTTATTTCATGTAAGAGCATGGTCACAAGGTGCATCCATTTCCCTAGAAATACCTCAAATGTACGCTTCCTTACGGTAGAGCAGTCTCCATAATACAGAAACCACATCTTCCTCACCCATTCACCAGCCAATGGGCTTCTGGCTGCTCCCAAGATTTTACTATTACGGATTGTGCCACTATAAACATGGTGTGCACATTCACTGTGGTCAGATGCTTTGAATTCTTGCAGGAAGATACCAGGAAGGAGAACAGCTGGGTCAAATGGAAGCTCTAGTCCTAGTCTTTTGAGGAACCTCCACACTGATTTCCACAGTGGTTGCACCAGTCTGCACTCCCACCAACAGTGGAGAAGGGTTCCTTTCCCCACAGCCCCGCCAGCATTTGTTATTGGTTGATTTCTTGGTAATAGGCATTTTTTCTGGGGTGAGAAGGAATCTCAGTGATGTTTTAATTTGCATCTCTTGAATGACCAGTGATGTCGACCATTTTTTCAAATATTTATTTGTCATTTCTATTTCTTCATTTGTAAAGTGTCTGTTCATCTCAGATACCCATTTTTGGATTGGCTTTTAAATTTGGAGGATCTGATTTTTTGAGTTATCTAGATAGTAGTCCTCTGAATGAGAAACAGCTGACAAAATTTTTTCCCACACTGTGGGTTCTCTTCACTCTGCGGTTTCTTTTGCTGTGCGAAAGCTTTTTAGTAAGATGAGCTCCCCGCTGTTGATGCTTTGTGATAGTTCTTGTGGGAATGAGGTTTCCTTCATACAGTCTCTGCCTACACCTATGCCTTCAAAAGGTCTATCTATCCTATCTTGCAGCAGACTTAGTGTCTCTGTTTTAATACTTAGATCTCTGATCCATTTCAATTTTAAATGAGTGTATGGTAAGAGGTACGGGTCTAGTTTTAGTCTCTGGCGCGTGCAGAGCCAGTTTTTCCAGCACCATTTCTAAAGAGGCTGTCTTTCTTCTAGTACAGGCGTCTGGCTCCTTTGTCAAAGATGAGGTGGCTGAGTATGTTTGAAGCTACTTCTACACCTTCTAATCTGTTCCACTGGTCGTTGCATCAAGTCAGGGATTGTGATGCCTCCTGCCTTGCCTTTGTGGGCCAGAACTGCTTCTGTTATTCTAGATCTCATCTGGTTCCCAATGAGCTTTAGCAATGTCTTTTTTATCTCTGTGACATACGCTATTGGTATTTTGATTGGGACTGCATTAAATCTGTATGACAATTTTGAAAGTATGGCCATGTTCACTATATTGATTCTTCCCACCCAAGAATAAGGGATAGATTCCCATTTTCTGACACCCTCCTCAATCTTTTCCAGAGTACTGTAGTTTTCAATGTAAAATCTTTTTGTTCCCTCATTAAATTGATTCCTAGGTTTTTCATGTTTTTGGATGTCATTGTGGAAGGCGTTGTTTCCCCAATTTCTCTCTCAGTGAGTTTGTTATTCATGTTCTGAGTTTTGAGTATTCACTTTGTATCCTGCCGTGCTGCCAAATAAGGTGATGAGTTCTAGAAGTCTTTTGGTGAAGATTTTGGGGTCTTCTATGTAGAGTACCACGTCACCAGCAAATGATGACAACTGAACATTTTCCTTTCCTATCTATATTCCTTTTCTTTCTTTCTTTCATCTAATTGCCCTGGCTAATGTTTCCAGAACTATATTGAAAGAGTGGTGATAGTGGACATCCTTGTCTTGTTTCTGATTTTAGAGTGAAAGTTCTTAGTTTTTGTCCATTCAGTAGGATGTTGGCTGTTGGTTTGGAATAAAGACCTTCCACTCCGATTTTTTTAGGGTTTTTTTAATCACAAATGGAGTTGGACTTTGTCAAATGCTTTTTTGTGCATCTCTCTAGAAGATCATGTGGTTTTTGTCCCTGGTTCTTTTAATGTGACATATTGCATTTATTAATTTGCATATGCTCAACCATCCCTGGATCCCTGGGATGAACCCTACTTGGTCATGGTGTATGATCTTCTTGATGATTTGTTGCATTCTGCTTGCCAGTATCTTAGTGAGGATTTCTGCATGTCCATGAGGGAGATTGGCCTATAGTTCTCTTTTTTGACTGGATCCTTCTGTGGTTTTGGTATCAGGGTAATGCTTATTTCTAGGAAAGAACTTGGAGTATTACTTCCCTTTCAGTTTCATTAAAAAGCTGAAGAAGAACCACTTTTCTGTTCATGCTGCCCTTTTCGTTTCTGTTGGCGCAGACCTGCCCTAAGAACACCCTCCCATTTTCTACAGTAAGTGCAGCTTCTTTTCCTTTTACCATCATCTGATGGTAAGTTGTACAGCTGCAGTTCTTTACTCATCATATACCACAGCCTGGAGTCTACCAGTCAAATCCACAACACATCCTGTATCACCTCCTGTCAGGCCATGCAGGTAATTTACAGGAACAAAACCATGATTTCACATGATGACTTCATCACTGAACACAAAATAAAACTACACCATAATACACAGTTCTTGGTCATTCAGAAAAATCACAAAGGGTCACACAAAGGTAAAAAGAAGTAATGTGAAGGAGCATAAAAATTAAAATCTAATGCCACAAAACAGAATGTACTTTCAAAAAGCTATCATTATGTGTGTCATAATAAAGACACATGTGATGTCTCAGCAATAATCAGTATAATGCTCCCCCTATTATATTCAACTTTTCCAAAGACTAGATTTAAAAAATACTCAATGGCTTTTTATTATTGTTAAAAACGGAAAGTGACAAGGCAGTCTGAAAGATAATCTGTGATTTTCACTTCCTGTTACCCACAGTACCGCCATCGTCCATCAGCCACTCCCTGTGGCTCACCACCCTCCGTGTAAGCAACAAGAATACATCACTACCAATAATACACAGAAAACGAAGTCCACACCACAAAGGGATATCTGCTTTAAAATGTTCAACAGACACAAATGTTTACCTCTGTTTACACAGATACCTCACTTAAAGTAAAAATAATTTTTAAAAGCATAAACCCATAAGGACAGACAAAATGAGAAATAAACACAAATAACAAAATATTAAATTAGGAAGTGAGAGGAACAAATGTTAAATAACTTGAGAAAACGAAATACAAAGCTGGTCATGAGGAAAGCTAAGTGACAACTGATTTATTACACTTAGTATTTTATAGCAGCACTTCTAGGTACCAGTCTGAGACCGTCGTCCAATACAACAGGCGTGAGACACACACGTGGGTACAGTTACACTGATCAGAATTAAATTTAAAATTCAGTTTGTGGGTCCCTCAAAAACCTCCTGTGTGCAGAGGCGAGGCTTTCGGAAGGTAACTGGATGGCGGGGGTGCTGCGCTCAACAGTGGGTTAACCCAGTGATGCGTCCACAGTTGAACGTGCTGTTAGAGACCGGGCCTGGCAGGGAAGAGGCTGCTCACCCGGACCTGGAAGGCTGTACAACACCCCCCACCCCACCCGCCAAGAGGGGAGCAGCTTTCCTTCACCAGGCCCTTCTCCCATGACGTTTCCACCTCAGGGCCAGCCGACCGAGGCCCCTGACACAGGGGCCAAATCTAACACGTTCCCGCCACCTGAACCGCAGCGGTACATGCCTGACTGTCCCCTCAGGCAACGTGTCCCACTGGTGGCACAAACAATGTGATCACTTTCATCACTCTTTTTACTAAAAGTTAATACGATACGACAGTCACGCCTGTACCACACAAGGGTCACACTGCCCGGCAGCAGGACTTGTGAACTGTGGGCCCACTGACGGTGTGAAACTCTCCTCCTTTAAACTGCAGGTGTCAGGTCTTATGCCCAGCAACGGGCTCACAGGCACAGCCATCAGGAAGGGCCAACAGAAACGCCAGTGAGACACCGCTACACGTCTGCTAAGATGATGAGAATCAGGAAGGCAAGTAACAGCAAGCCTCGGTAAGGAGGCACAGAAACCAGAGCGTCACACATTCCTAATGGGAACGCAGAATCGGTCCGCCTCTGTGGAGTACAATCTGATGGTTCCCAAGGGCTAAACACAGAGATGTAACATGACTCAGCAATTCCACTCCTGGTATCTATTCAAGAAAGGAAAATGAAAGCGTATGTCCATGTAGCAACTTGTACAGCAAACACCACTGTCAGCAACAAGGTAACCAAACGGTAGAAACAACCTAAATGTCCATAACTGATGAGTTAGTAAATAAAATGTAGCCTTACCTACATAATGGAATAGTATGTAGTCATGAAAATGAATGAAGTACTGATAAATGGTACAACACAGTTGACTTCTGAACATACAGTAAGTGAAGAGTGAGTTACAGAAAGGACAGGTACGTCATTCCATGCACATGAGACTTCAATAACAGAAAAGTTCACAGACCTATGAAGCAGATTTGTAGTTGCTTATGGCTGGGGAGACAGATGGACAGAGGTCAGAGCTAAAGGACATAGGTTTCTTGTGAAGTGATGAAAATGCTCTAAAATTGCGTTGTTGGTTAAGCACAGCTGGGAACATACTACAAACCATTACACTGCATAGTATATAAATACAACCTCACTAAAAAAGAAAGCTACTTGTATGTACCTGGCCACTTCGTCATGACAAAGGTAAGCCTGAAGAACACTGCAGAAAATGCTACTTCCAGTGAAGAATGCTGCTTCAATTAGACACTTACGTGGGGAAAAAGGTGAAGCTTGACTCTTACTTCACACCTTACCCCAAAATAAACTTCAGATGGACTGGAAATACAAATGCAAGAGACAAAACAATAAAAATTTCTGTAAGATGACACAGAAAGTTCTTCATGACCTTGGGTAAGCAAAAACCTCTTAACTGCAACACCGGACACCGGCCCGGCCACACTGTGAAAAATCAATACGCTACGCCAGGCGACCTGAGGTGTTCATCAGGACACCATCAGAGACGCTGCTAAAGAGAGAAACGGAAAGGAGACAGCGAGACAAAACAGTTCCCATGAACACGACACAAACTCACATTCAGAATGTAGAACCCTCATAAAAATAGGGGGGAAACCAGACAGCCTTGAACAGATACCTCTCAGAAAAGAACACATCTCAACGGCCAGAAGCACTGAAAAGGCATCTGGCCACATGGAGCAAAAACTACGAATTAAAATCAAAGAATAACTAAAACATAAAGAGTAGCAAAACCAAGCACTGGTGAGGATTTGGAGTAACAGGTATTAAGAATTTCAACCGGAATTAAAACTTACTTCAAGAGTTCGTAATTCTTCTCATTCAACCTCACAGCGTTCTCTCTCCAAAACTTCTCTGACTTGTGCACAGGACTCCACTCCAGCCTTCCAGACTTAAGTTCTGAGCTGTATTCATCAAAGGAGCTATAAAAATTTTTCAAGAATTCCAAGTTTATATAAGAATCCAACTTAATCCAAAATTAAACAAAATGCCTTTGTTGATGATTTGATTATAAATCTCTGCACACTATCCCCAAAGATTAAACAGTAAAATAATCTTTAATAAATAATGTTCAATTTTATTCAGAATACTAAGGCCCAACATGCCTATCAAATCTGAATGCTAGGCCAGGCGTGGTGGTACACACCTATAATCCCAGCACTGGGAGGCTGAGACAGGAGAATCACTGTGAGTTCAAGGCCAGCCTGGGCTACAAACTGAGTTCAAGGCCAGCCTGAACTGCAAAGCGAGACCCTGTTTCAAAAAGCAAAAACAAACAAACAAACAAAAAAAATTAAATGCTTGGTATGAAATACTAAAATGAGCATTTGCTCTCAAAATCTTTACACCAATAAATACATGATTATGTATCAGTTTAAAAAAAGAAGAGATTCTTACAATTGCTACCATGACGCTTGAAATACTGTTACCTGCCAGACCATCAGGAATATGTAAACATATGTAAACTCAGAATACTTTAACATAAAAGAGCATGCATGAATACTAGTATACCATAAATATTGTAAGTACATCATAAAGACAAAATCACAACCATCAGTAAGATATTTTACAATGTGATTACCAATAAGGTAAGTCACTTATTAATTAACAGATTAACAGATTAACAGATTTTTTAACCTTTAAAAAACTAAAACACCTGTACATAGAACAAACTGTAATGCATTTTACTTCAGAAAACATTCCTATTGACACAGTAGGTTGACTATTCAAAGCATTATAATATGCATTTTTAAATCAGGTAACCAATAGACAGTATAAGAGCATGCTTAAATTTCCTTTCAAGTAAAAATGTAAAAAGACATGTAGTCGCTAAATGTTCTCTTGGTAAATTAGAATAACCAGGCTGTACTGGGTAAGCTAATCAAGCATCCTGTTCGAATAAAGTATTTCCTTTAATGGAGGGTCGAAGAAAGTAAGGACTGACCTACTATTGCTAACATTCACATCCTAAATCTGATAGCAACAAAAACAGAAATGAACCAGCTACGCCCATCCCTTCATCCTATCAGACAGAAAGGTTGAACAGCCCCAAAGGAGAAAACACATACTTCTCATCAACTGTTACCAGGTAAAAATACGTCTCAACAGAAGACACGCATATTTTAGGGAAATTTCTTGCTCATATTTGGCAACTGATTCAGATTTTCTTTAAAAACTATGCAAATCAGCATGTGCAACTCTAATCCTAGCTACTTGAGAGACTGAAACAGAACGATCCCTGGAGCCCAGCAGTTCAAGACCAACCTGGGCAACATAGCAAGAACCCGCCCACCTCATCCCCGCCCAAAATGTATGCAAGTCAAACAGCCAACAATCCAGTATATGAAAATTCTTGAAAATAATAATAATGGGCTGGGGATTTAGCTCAGTGGCACAGCACCTGCTTGGCAAGCGCGAGGTCGTGAGTTTGATTCCCGGTACCGGGAAAAAATAAAAAAATTTTTTAAAAAGTACTCTGAAAAATAGTAATAATAACATACCTAAGGTCCTGGACACTCTCACCAAGCTTTTCCAAAAGAAATTTGATATCTTCGCTGATATCTTCATCGTCGTATTTCTGCTGTTCCAAGTTCTCCAACTGTTTGAGAACTTTGCACTGAATCATAGCCAGAGCATATTCTTGACGAGTTTCTCGCTCGGTTGATTTTTCTAGAAAGTTCTGGATTAGACAAAGACATGATGAGAAATCACATGTCTTTGTTACGTGATAGCCTCAGACCTCTATACTTCCTTTTATACCCTCTCACCTCCTTCTAGTCTCAGATTTCAACTATTTTAAGTGAATGGCTCCATTTTGAATCTTTACTTCTTTCCTGAATATCCTATCTGTCACTTGTCAGAAACCTGCTTTTACTCACATACTCTACAGTTGGGGTCTGAATGTCCCCCAGAGGCGTATGTGTGAAAGGCTTGGTCCCCAGCCCGTGGCACTATTGGAAGGTGGTGGAACCTATGTGAAATGGCACCTAGGTGAAAGCAGCCAGGTGACTGGGTGCATCCCTTGAAGGGGATATTGGGACCGCAGCCCTATTTCAACCACACACACACACACACACACACACACACACACCCTCGCTGCTTCCTGGCTGAGCAGCATGAGATGCGCAGCTTCCTCTCCTACATGCTTCCTGCCACGATGCACTGCCTCACCATGAGCCCAGAAGTATGAAGCCAAGCAACCATGGACTGAGACCTCTGAAGCCATCGGCCAACACAGAACTTCCTTCTTAAGGGTTCATCCCCTGAGGTGCTCTGCCAGCGATGGAAAGCTGGCTGACACACATCCTTACTGGCTTCCTAAACATCTTTAATTACTGACCTCACTGAGCCTGACAACACTGAGCACATTTAAAACTAACCCCATCGCAATGGTTTCTCGTGGCCCTGCTCCTGCGCACACCACAGTAGGCTCTCCCTCTGTCGCCCACTGAGAGCACTTCGGGTACTAGGAAGGACTATTCCCTTACATGTCTCTCCAGTCTCCAGGCAGTCAGACATCCCCAGCTCGCTAACCAACCTACAAGTACACAGAAAGCAGTACTTTAAGCCTTCCTCAGACAATTACTTAAAGAGTTTTATGATATTCAGGCACCTTCTCCCAGCTTTCCTCCGCGCTGTCCTGTTCTTAAGAGTACTTAGGAATGTAGCAAAGGAACATATGAATTTAAAAAGACAAATCATTCGTTGAATTAACCCATATTTCTGAGCAAAGACCAAGCTAGTACCCAGAAACAAGAATACACAAGATACGGTTCCTGCTCTCTAGAAAGTTCCTTTCACCAAATTCTTTGAAATATCCCCAGCAAAAAAAAATTCCACATAATTTATACACAAGCACAGGAAGGGACGTGGCTCAGCACGCGTACGTCGGTGAGGTCCTCATCCTCTCCCCTCTCTCCTGCTCCCGCCAGGGCTCAGGCCCCGAGAGCCGCGTCCCATTCTTCTCCGCATCACCAGTCTCTGGCTCAGCGCCAGCCCAGAGTTAACCGTCAGTAAAATCGTGTAACCCTAACATCGCGCCTCAGTGCTTACGTCTATAATATCAAAAATTACTTCCATCTCTTTATTTCAAATGTACACTGAGTAGGGTAGAAATACCACATTCAATCTACTTTTAGAATTCCTTCAAAACTGAAACATGAATTTCCACTCAGTTATGAAAAACAAAGAACCCACTGGATGAATTCAGCTCTCGAAAAAGCAAGTACGAAAGCAGGACACGCTGCGAAAGCAATTACTAAGGAAGAGTAAGTAGAGTGGACGGACCCTGGTGTGAAGTTCACACTGGTTTGGAGTAGGGAACTCGGGGAGCAACACAAGGAAGCTCCGGGCACTTTGGCTTGGATTTCGAGGCGCGGTGCCGTACAGTCTGAAAGTACAGTGGAAGTCAGAGAACCACAGAAAAGTCAAAAATAGTTTTTCTGACCTAAAAAGGCAGAAAAGTGATGCCAGCCAACCACAGGAATGCTGAAGAGAAAATGGGAACCCCGTGAGATACCGAGTAGAAAGGAGACCCGAATCCTGTTGCGGGCAGCTGGGTTAGACAGAAATATTACAGGCAGCCAGACAGGGCCAGGCCCTGGAAGGAGCCAGTGCAGAAGACAAGATACCCTGCAGCCAGACCTCAAGATGAAAGATAAAACAAACGCACCACATACTTCCTAAGGATAAACATCAGGGATTGACATTCTACATAGGTACCCATCACCTTGAAAAAGCCAGGAGGAGTCACTAGCCCAACCGTACAGGAAAAGCCCCCGTTCGGTATCCATGCCCCGTTGCTGTGTGACCGGCTTCCCCATTTGATGCTGATTTAATCAATTTTATCCCAGCAACTATACTCGTAATCTTATTGATTGACCAGTTTTGTCCCACCTCATACCCACCTTGCAAGTTCCCATTTTTCCCACCTTGGACCCACCTCACACCTTGATTTGCTCTATAAAAATCCCTAGGAAAGGCAGATTCTTTGGCAACATACTCGGGTCCCCTTCTGTCTCTCTCTCAGACAGAAGCTTTCTTCCCCCAATAAATATATTCTGCTCTTAACCTCTGCAGTTCCTAAAACTCATTCTCTGATTTTAGAGAACATGAACTCATACTGGACACCCAGTAATTTGTGTATAAATTATAGGGGAGCTTCTTTCCCCTGTATCACCTTCTAATCACACCTGATCCAGTCCTTAAACACGGTACACAGAACAGACAAAGCGCCTCAGCTAAAAACAGCAAATATGAACGGTAACCAGAGCTGCCACTCAAGAAACAAATTCGCTAGTTCAAAGTCAAGTTAAGAAAACTAGCTGCCAAAACAAAGAAAGCAAAATTCCCTGGAGAGAAATAGCAGAATTCAGAATCTCCACAATGTAGTATTCGTAATATCCAGGATATCATCTAAAATTACCTGATATACAAAAAATCAAAGCGGAATGGAATATAGTTGAGAAGACACTGAACTTAAGGGACAAGGATTTCAAAACAACTATTATAACAATTCTCAATGAAATAAAATGTTTTTAATGAAAAAATTTTCAGCCAGGCGTGGTGGAGCACGCCTATAATCCCAGCATGCGGAGACTGAGGCAGGAGGATCGTTACAAGTTCGAGACCAGCCTGGGCTACAAAGGAAGCTCAAGGCCAGCCTGAACTGCATAGTGAGACCCTGGCTCAAAATGACAAAAAAAAAAAAAAGAATAAAATTTTCATAAGAAATATATGAATTATTTTGGAAGTACTAAACAGAAATTCCAGAAGTAAAAACTACAAGTAAAAATATTCATGTTTGGACTTAAGAACCAAATGAAGATGAAATAAGAAAGAAAAAACCAAAAAATAAACTACTAAAATTATCCAAGGAAGAGGAAGGGAGAGAACGAAAAAAAATTAAGATGCATTATATACACGAATTCCCCACAATGAAGGTAATCACCACGTAGAGCCAACACATACTAATAAAAATCTAAACTATACAATCTAAAAATAAAATTATCCAAAGAGAAGAACAGAGACAAAATACAGTTCTCAAGAAATAAAAGCTCAGGAACCTGTTAGGTTCCTGCATAAGGACAGGACACCTATGCACATCAACTGGCATGCCAAAAGGAAGGGACAAAGAAAATGGGTCTGAAAATTTATCTGAAAAAATAATGGCTGCAAATTTCCCAAATTCAATGTGACGGAAATTTTCAGTAAGTCGTCCAATGAGCTCCATGCCTAAACAGAGGGACATCATTGTTCAGCTGACACAAAGTTGGTTTGAGGGATATTTCGTTGATGTAAAATGAAGTATAGAATTCTGGGCTTACAGTTCCAAGACAAGACAAAACTAAAGCACACACACCGCAGGGCCCTCGGTAAATTCCTAGAGACTGCAGGGCCCAAAGCTTCTGTCTCCTAAGCAGAAGACACTCGCTCAGATGGTCAGTGTGATGCGGGAGCGCCCTCCTAAGTGCCTCTCATCTACATAAAATCAATGTGAGCTGGAGACAAAAGAAGTTTTCATAATAAAAACTGTAATTTAAAAAACCATGTTTCATGCTGAAATGTTAAACTGTGACCATTATAAAATAATTATTAAAAAAGAACAAAACCAAGTTTGCAATGCAATTTTTTCATCAGATTACTTTTGAATTTCTAGTATTATCATTTTATTCTTTTTTTGTTGTTGTTTTTTGGTTTTTTGTTTTTCTCCGGTACCAGGAACCAAACTCACGACCTTGCGCTTGCCAGGCAAGCACCTTTGCCGCTGAGCTAAATCCCCAGCCCCATTTTATTCTTTCATGTAAAATATGGCAAACAAAAACACTTACTGGTTGACTTTTAAATTTTAAGTATACCCCAGAAACTCTAAATGGCAAAGTAGCTTCTACTGGATAAAGCCTCTCACTGAAAACAATTCTAATATTTAGATGTACTATAAAGAAAATCTCTGAAGACACAAAGGACACCAGAAACTGGAAGGAGTCTCTACTCAGGAAAAAAAAAAAAAGACATGGCACTAGAATTTCTGCTTTTATAAGGTTTTCTCCTATGGAAAAGCCCGAGTCAGAAAAATTCACATAAAACTCAGCAGAATATCAGACTCTCACAGGCCTTAAGAAACACTGGACAGGTCAGAGTGATCACAACCTCCAGAAAGCGAGGGAGAGCTGGGCATGCTGGCGCACGCCTGTCATCCCAGCACTCCGCAGTCTGAGGCAAGAGGAGCACCATGAGTTTGAGGCCAGCTTGGGCTACACAGTGAGTTCTGGCCAGTCTCAAAAAAAAAAAAAGAAAAGAAAAAATATAGTAAGGGAGAAAATCATAGCAAGAGAAAACAAGAAAGGAGCCCCGGTTCTGCTCACGAGCTCTGCCCAAATCTCTGGCTAACCACTGAACCATACATACTGAACCAGCCATGCCAAAGAGAACCAAAGAGGTGAGATGCTGCCCACCAAAGGAGACAGAGCTCAGAGCGGAAGCCTCGCCACGCTAAGTAGCTAGAAAGACCAACTATGAGACAGATTCAGTGTTAGAACTGGCAGAAAAGGAGTTAAAAGACCAAAGAAATACACTAAAAGAACTAAGGAAAGCTTAGCAGAAGCAAATGCTATAAATTTCCAAATGAAAATTCCAGAAATAAAAACAGAATATTTGAAATACTTACATTTACAAATGAGC